AGACAGTGCTTCCCTTGAAGACAGGAAGTAATTAAGAGCTGATTAACTGAACAGGTGGATTTATTAGGAAACTTGGAAGGAAGAGACGCCATTAAGGTTTGCAGCAGTCGGGACTAGCAGTTGGAGTAATGGCTATGTCGCTGGACTCCCATGTAGTTGAGTGCAGTTCAAGTCCCAGACCCAGTGGCTTAAACTCACACCAAGCGCATGTGCATGTGTGCCCAAGATCCCAAGAAAAGAATGGAGAAGAGATTGCGGCGTGGCCATCCCCCACAAAGGGTGATTTCTCGCTTTCTGTCTCCCTGTCTCTGTCTGTCTTTCTGGTGAGCACATGCGCCCTATAGCAAAAACCTCTCCAACAAAACAAAACAAAACAAAACAAAAAAAGTTTGCAGCAGTCATTTTATTTTAATATGAAGCACTTAAAAAAAAAGAAAAAAAAAAGAAAGAAAAAAAAAGAATGGTCTTATCTCCATTGATGGAAAAAATGTCTTCTCTAACCCTTCCCTTTGCTCTCCTCCTTCCCATTCCCCGATGTCACGTCACATGACCATTGTACTTAGCAGCTCCTGTGTTTGTCTTTTTCACAGGACAGGTTCGAAGACTGTTAATCAGGGAACATAAAATGAAAACAAAGACAGGGCTGGCTCTGTGGCCTAATGGTTAAGGGAGCCTATTCCCACATGGTTGACAGTGTGGTTTGAGTGCAGGCCTCAGTGGCTTGGAAAACATGCTGGGCATGTGTGTATGTACGCCCTCAATCCCGGCAGGATGGAGAAATGGAGGAGGTGTTGTGTGTGACCACGCCCCACTCTCCAGTGCTTTCTCCTCTCTGGGTTTCTGCTTCTCTCTCTGGTGAGTGCATACATCCTGTGACGTTGCGACCAGCAAGTTGCGTGGTGATTGGGGCACATGGGAATGTGGTCAACCACAGCTCAAACCTGGGGGGCTGGAAATCATGCGGGGCACATGTATGTGTGTGTGTGTGTGTGTGTGTGTGTGTGTGCCCAAAAATCCTGAGGGGAGAATGAGAGAATGGAGGAGAAGTAATGGCGACAGGGCCATCCCCCCTGGGGTATGATTTTCACTTTCCCTCTTTCTTTAACTCTCTGGCGAGTGCATGTCCCCTGTGGCCAAAAAAACCAAAAACTGGAAATCATGCGGGGCACATGTATGTGTGTGTGTGTGTGTGTGTGTGTGTGTGTGCCCAAAAATCCTGAGGGGAGAATGAGAGAATGGAGGAGAAGTAATGGCGACAGGGCCATCCCCCCTGGGGTATGATTTTCACTTTCCCTCTTTCTTTAACTCTCTGGCGAGTGCATGTCCCCTGTGGCCAAAAAAACCAAAAACCAAAAACAAATTCTTACTGAAACTCTCTGGTGAGTGCATGTCCCCTGTGGCAAAAAAACCAAAACCAAAAACCAAAAACACCTCAAAACCAAAACCCCCCAAAAAGCAAAAAATCTAAAAGAAAAATGTGAAAACAAGATCACGTCAAAACTTACGTGGCATGGTATAGTGCCATGCTTTTGGACCTTCTGGCCACCAGAATCATAAGCCAAGTAAACCTTCATTTTGTTTCTTTTAAAATTAATTAATTAATTTGTTTTTAAAGAATTATTTATTTAAATTTATTTATTATTATTATTTTTAGAGATTTTTGCTCCTTTTTTTTTTTTGAAGAGGTTTTTGCTATAGGGCGCGTGCACGCGCCAGACAGAGAGCAAG